CCAAAATTGTACTTGTCTGAACTTTACCAAAATTTAAGCGGAATACCTTTTGAAGTGGGTAGTCTACATGCAAAGGAAATACAATAAAAAGGGCTTAATTTCCTTTCAAGGTCAAGAAGCAAAACTGTAACACTCTTGCAAACAAAAACAAGATCTTGAATTAATAAGAGTTTTTTTGAGAAGATATTTTCTTTTTAAAGACCTGTCTGATGGAAGAATGATCTAGATTTTCTATCATTAGCCGATTCATCCTTAAGATTTTCGGGTGGCCATGGAGGCTTTCAAAGCTTGCATCCTATATTGTAAGATTGCATCGTGTATGTACTGAAAGGTTCTTAAAGCGCCATTTTATCTTTCTTCAAATCATATATCCAGTAGATAAAATGGATCAAATCACATCATTTTGGAGATCTGCTCCAGTCAGAAAAGTTGTTTAATTTTACCTCTCTCTAATCTGTTGCTCATAACATCATACGTATATGTCAAAAGTCTTGCATATTTCATCAAGTTAAGTCCGCCAAATACCACTATCTTTTGTGGGAAAAAAATGCAAACCATTTCTCTGCATCTGCCTAAGGCTCGTTCGTCTAGCCACTTATCGGATCCATGGCAACCCAAAGGTATTTCTTGTTTATTTTCCTTTTGAAGGAAACTGTTTTCTAAACTGTTTTCTAGAATTTTTATTAAGTGTCACACTAGTCGCCAATTAACGGTTCGCGTGGAAACAATGCAAAAAGTTGTTTGTTTTGGTTTCACTGCCGTGTAAAAGGAACTTTAAAAATGGTAATTTTTTCATTGGTGTCTTAAGCGCTGCTAGACAGATTAGCGGAGCTCGTACTACAGACGAGAAGCTGAAAAGGCACTTTATTTTCACATATTGAAGGTATGTTTTTTAAAACTTTGAAAGTTAATTAAGTGATATAAAAAGCTGCAGTTTGTGATTTTTCTCAGTGCCTCACTGCAAAGAAATTGACGTCGATTTAGAGTTGTTATCATTTGGCAGTCTGCATAGGCAAGAGATCGCAATTTACTAGAGGAAGTCTAAAAGAAGAAGCTCCCCTAATTACAAAACACCGTACAGCTTGAATAAAGAAAAAAAGCCATTGCACGCGCTCTCGCTTTTGGTACGTGACGCTCTGATAGTCGGCTGCAAAGAAGCCTACCTAAGCCCGTTCGAAAACATTGTTATGTAAATAATTAAAAAGAAAAACAACTTCTAGCTATTCAAACAGCACTGTCGACGCCCATATGTGCTCAATCTCTCTTGACAAGTAACGAAATCTTAACTTTCCACAGCCAGAATGGTCAACTGTCCCAAATGCAACAAGCCAGTTTATTTTGGTAAGTCTGTCTGAAAGAGAACGATGTTATATTCTCTAGTTCAGTGTAGTTAACTTTAACCTCTGAGTGGCCTTGCGCCCCTTACGTGTAAATTTTAGATTAGCATATAAACTCACGTGCGAATCTTATAGATAGCAAGCGATACACCGAACTGCTTGAGATATTTGAGTTCTTCTACGTTTATTCGGTACACAATATACAGTCGCTCGTTTTGTTTCAAGATAAGGTACGCACTTGCAGCTTTACCCACATTTGTCACCAAAACCTTTGCGTTAATTGCAGCTTTTCTTAAACTGACTACCTCTAGCGTCTCTTTACAGCTTCAATAGGAAATTAAATCATCGACATTGATGGAAAAAATTTCTTCACAATAAGTCAAATTTCTACCTGTGAGGTGGAATCGTATTTTTTTTTGCAAAGGCTAAATTATACCTTTTTGAATAGAGTTAATCGTTATACCTCCTCAAGCAGAAAATTCGCGAAAGCCTCGAGAAGCTTAATTTGTGACAGCGCTAATCTTGCATACCAGAACTTGAAGTTGTATTAAAAAGGCTGGCATTCAATGAAGTTACATAATATTAATGTCACAACAATTCTCTCTACTGATATGCTCTCTCTCGCCCAATTCCCAATATTTCTGTAGCTTTATTAGTCGCTTTTATGACCGTTGCAGTGTACCCGTCAACAATGAGCTGAGTAAATGTTTGATATGTTTTAGCTGAGAGAGTGACTTCTCTTGGCAAAGACTGGCACAGGCCTTGCCTAAGGTGTGCAAAATGCGGCAAAGTTCTCAGCTCTGGGGGCCATGCCGAGGTAAGATATTATTATTAGATTTTGTTTTATATTACCGAACCGTTCTTCTTTATTAATTAATACCTTAGTGTCTGCGGCATTTGAAGCATTCTAATCAGGCTTTTAAGCTTTTCTTCAATTCAGAGACAGTTTTCAAAATAAACAGAAAATACTCGAATTCGAAATGACACAGACCGAACCGGCTGGCATTTTTTAGAGCAAAACCTCAGTTAGGGAGACTTTTCATAGTCGAATACATTGGAAAACCAGCGAATTCTATTACGTTGAGTGTAAAACTTCTCGGAAGTTATGCATTGATATTGGCATGTCTGTACTGGCAACACGATTTTCCCTTGGGCTACCTGTGGTTCAAAACGGTCACCATGCAACGGGCCATGAAAATTTGGCCATATTATCGGGGTGGCTGTATAATTTAACCGGGTAGGCTCAAATTTCAAGGCTGGTCTATTTTAAGTGACTTTTTGACAGATATATCCCGTTTGCACTTCTAAACAACTTTTCTTCAATAAGAATCCCGGAATGCAGATATAACTGAGAAAAACTGAAACTTCAATCAATACATACAATAATATAACCATGGAAAGAGGAACTTAACTTGCTTGTGGCCGTATTATCGGGGTAAAATTGTAATGGATTGAACATGTTGGGATTTCAGAATGTGGTCGTTGGCCGTATTAACGGGATGGTCGTGTTTACCAGGTTTTCTTATGAGAAAATTTATCGAGACGACTGAGTTAGATCAGAGAGGGACAATAGCAAAAATCAACCAATCAGGTCGCTCTATTGCCGGTCCAATATTCTCTAAGTATTGGACCGGGCACGTCCCGAAAGATCAGTCCCGCATGATCTCTCTTCTAGATTTTCTGGTACAGTTTATGACTTACGTTTCTTAAAAGGTTTTTGCGAGTAGTGCACTGACGGTGTTCAACGTTGCTTTTGTATATTCTAGCATGATGGGAAACCATACTGCAACAAACCATGTTACTCTGCGTTGTTTGGACCAGGGGGCTTCGGACATGGCGGCACAGAGTCACACAAATACTAACCTCATAGTAAGTAAATAGTTACTTTCTTGTTAAAGTTAAAGCCGTTATCCAAACTAACGCCTGCCATTTACGTGGTAACCTTTGTAACACACAAAACCGTGATCATTACGTCCGAAAAAATTGACCAATCAGATTTCGAACCGAAAGTGCGTCAGACCAACGTCACACTAGGGAAAAGCGCGGGAAGGAAGAGGCAACCTCGTACCCACGTCTTATCTCTTCCTCCCTCGAAAGAGGAATAGGACTGGGAACGAGGTTGGGGAAAAGTTACGAGAGCTAATCCTTGTTAGTTTTAAAATCTTTATCTGATTGGCCTTTTGTCGCAGTTGGTAACGTGGCCAGTTATCGTAAAACGTGTGGCTGGAATGATCTCAAAAGTGGAAAGAACTCGACAATGCCTATAAAAACCTGGATGATCAAATTTCGAACTAGTACCCGTGCGATTTTAAGGTCAAGGTTTGAACTTTTGCACGAAATTCGAAAGGTCTTGCAATCATTAAATAAGGCCCAGTTCAGACGCCGAACTTTTCATGAGCCGAACCAAATACATTGAATTAAGTACATGAAAAGTTCGGCGTCTGAATCAGTTAAGAACG